GATGCATTTTTGAACGTAAGTGTAGCTCAGGGGTTACTCGAATATATGGTATGGGGACCAGTAATAGTAGGTAATTTTAAAAAACTCGATTACAACGCTTTTAACAACTCTTTTATCGTATCGAAAGTTAAGAATAAAGAAAAAATTTCATGCCTGGTTCTGCTTATTAATTTTAACCGCGAAGAGAGAATCTCGTTGTTTGATATAAAAATTCATTATAACATAAAGCTATCGATTCATCCCTCTTCTCCTTATCTTGTAATATCCAATTACGAGATCACCGGCACAGAAGGATTACATTATTTTCAGATGAGAAAGAAAACGTTCGTTTTAACCCTTTTGCTCTGCACAGTTTTTTGTTTTCATCGTCAATTTTTTTTCTCCAAATAAACACCGTCAAAACAACTCGGGTTGCAGCGCGGCCTCTGATCGTCTTTCTTTTTTGATGCTGCGACTCATTCAGAGTTAGAGAATTCAATTAAGTTTAAAACGATTCGATAACAATTGATCCACACGTGTTAAACAAGCTGTTATCTACAATGAAACCAGCGACTCTTCGAAATAATTAACACGAGGAGAGGCAACTGGAGGCAGAGCATTCCACCTCTGAGGACGGAACACGGTCTCGTGGAGGCGCGTGGTCCGTTTCAGCCGGCTTTGGGGCCGCAGAGGGTGGGTGGGAAGGAGGGCGGTAGAAAATTTCTGGCGAACAACAGCTGTCGTGTCACCTGTTCAAACAGCCGTGTTTCGCCACGGCGCTATAAAATCGCCCCGTGCGAGGCCAGGTGAGGGGCCCGGTTTACACTTCTCTCAGCCATCGTAGCCGGCCATCGAGTGGCGTTCGATATTATCACAGGAAAGTCACGGGCAGCGTGACGAATGTCCTAGGAAATTTCCACGCTCCTTCCTCCTCCCCCCCTAGAATCGATTTTAGTGGTGATATTGGCTAGATCGAGTTAACGCGCTTGCAAACAGCAACGGTTTCGATTGCGATCCGTTACGGTTGGTTAATGCTCGTTTGTATGGAATGATCGATTGGAAGTGGAGATAGTTTGTTAAGGATACACGAGGGGCAGGCACAGATCTCCAACGTCTCGCGCGTTGGAATTGAATCGTTGCGCTGACTTCCCGATTTCGTGGCTTTTCTTTATGTTGAATTTTCGTTCGTTAAACAACTTGGACAAGTGGAAACCTCGAAGATTTCAATCCCCTCTTCGAAGTTCTAAATAAGTTTATAATGGCGCGAGGCAAGGGAAAACTTAAACGTGTGCTCTAAAACTAAAACGTTCAACTTCTAACACTGTGTATTCTATTATCCTATAGTAAATTTATGTAGATTGTAATCTATATTAAATGTTAGAGATTAAAAGAACTAACTGTTTAAAAGAATCGACATGTGAAAAACTTGAACGTGTGTTGAAACGTTCTACTTCTAACACTATGTATTCTACTATCCTACAGTAAATTTATACGCGAAATATTCACATTAAAAGAACATAACTGTTCAAAAGAATCATATTTCGTTCCATTATCCTGTATAGTATAGCGAAATTTATATGAAGTGAAGCAAATTAGAAACCAACCATCCAAAATTAAAAGAACTAGCTTAACTCGAAAGATTAACTTCTTCTTGGAAAAATGATAAAAAAACCCGCGAACTGAATAGATTTAAAGGAAATAAATCGAAAAGAAGAAGAACGAACCAACTTTCTTCTGTTCGACCTATAAACTCTCCTCCCCCTCATCTGTCGCGATAACTTCTCTTATTAACAATGGAGGACAGAAAATTACGCGTAAAAAACGCTGTTGAGAAGTTGGCACGATCCACGACGTGGTGGTCCTCTGACGCCCAGCCCTCAGCGGAATGGTGATACGTTTTACGATGACCCCGGCGACGTTAACGTTGCGCTGGGACGGGGCCAAGATGAATTGAAGGGGATACGCGCACGGATGCAGGGGAAATGCCACGGGGAGCTGGATTATGCGGCCGTAACTCAACATAACCGTGGCGCACGACCTTACACGTATGCCAACCCAAGAAGGAGGGGAGGGAATGAGCCGCGGAGAGCGCGAAGTAACCTTAGAGAGCGCGGCCGACCCCCCTTGAAGCCGGCTAAGGGAGAGGGTTAAGCGATGAATTTCATTTTACGGGGTCGACGCCGTTTCTGCCTTTTCCTACGGACGATTTGCGTGACGCTCATCGTCGAGCTTCTCACGGGAACCTCCCCTCCGTGTTACGTGTCTCTCCTTTATTTTGATTTTCCTCCACACTCGTCGACGATTAATAAATCTCGGTCAGATGGGCGAAATTTAATAATAGTTATGAAGTTTACTTCGTTTAATTTATTCGTTCGAGACATAACGATAATGGATAACTATAATAGCCACGAATAAATGTGTAACTTTATTCTTTAAATTTTTAACTGGCTACTTTTTCGACGGATTAACGCTTCTATAATTTCGAAGTTTAACGATTTATCATTGCAAGTATTTTTCTCGTTGAAAAATTTTCCTTTCTTTTTTTTTTATTTTCAAATAAACGCTCGTTCAAACATATGAAACACATCGTTCACCCGCGAACAACATCCCCGAACGATCTCTCCCTCTGCCGAATAAAAAGAAAGAAAAGGGAGGGGGAAAAAACGATCGTAAAATTAAATCGTTTAGGCCAGACGGTTGCCACGATATTCAATAATCGGGCAGCATACGTGTAGGGGCTAGGCGATGCGGGGCGAAAATTTCGTTATCGCCTAAACAGGGGCGGCCCGGTTGAAATGTCGGGCACGTAGCGCGAGCACTCGTGTCGTCGCGGCGGGATCGAAGGCGCTATTATCAGCTGGCGGCACGTGCCAGGGCCACGTGTACCAGAGCAGATGGCAAAGGCCCTGTGGATGCACCTTGCGAACGCCCTACGCGCCACAGCCTTCGTTAATGGAGGCCCTACGGGCTTCCACGGGACGAAAACCCGAAGCGCAGGTGTCGTTGCGCCCCGATTGAGCGTGACGATCGACCAGCGGGATAAAGTTGTTGGGGAAATGTATCGAGTTGGCCGCCTAACCTATTATTCCTTTTGGAATCGTGACTGTACGCAGGAATTTTTGATTCTTTTCGATTAAAGTAGTTTCTCGTCTAACCTATTATTCCTTTTGGAACCCTGCGTGACCTGTACGCAGGAATTTTTGATTTTCTTCAATGTAATGTAGTTTCCGTGTGTTTCCATCTATTTTTGTATTCACCTTTGAATCGAGGTCTTTCGTAAATGATTTTAATATAATGCAACAGGGAAATACATGTATATCGTGGGATAAAGTATGATAAGTCTTTGAAAAGTTTGATTTGAATAGTGAAAAGTTGCTGTTCAGAGATTTTGATTGAGTTGATTATTTGTCGAGTGTATAAGCTTGCGTTAGACGAAGCGAGATGAGGTAGAGAGAGAGACAAATCTATGTTTGTTACACTGTCGCGCCACGGTGTGGCGCGGCGTGTCATTCTGTCTCTATCTCGCTTCGTCTAAACTTCGAGCGCTTCTAACTTAATAAATAAGTCGAGGTCACTTTTAGTGTTTAGTTAGTATCGTTTGAATATTTTTCTTCTTTTTACACGAATTCTATAAATTCTCCCGTTTATACATTGAAATTGAATATCCTGGCAAGATATTTTCTGGTAAGATGGAATTTATCTTAGGGAATAAAACCGTATGGCATTTATTCATCCAAACCTTAGGATCGAATATTACATGTACGAACGATTCAAACATTCCTCGCCATAGATTTTTATTCTTTTTATACCTTCCCGACGTAAAAATATCAAAGATATGGAATTCTTTATATTTCATTCGTAGCTCGAGTCGATATATCTTCGATTGTCACGAGGAATTGAAAGTATATATCATTTTTCATATAAAAACGGTTATACAAAATTTTATCTACGTATATAAGATACAAAATTCGTGCACTTTAAGGATAGGGCAATGTGTTATTTTTTGTCGCGTTGTAAATCACGTCGAAAGAATGTGTTTAGAAAAACGTTGAAACGTAATTTTAATCGTGTTGCGTTTTGAACAACTTTTGTTAAGGTTAGGATAATGCAAGAAAATTACATTTTACTTTACTTGAACGAGGAGTTTAATTATTAAGTAGTTAATTAAATCTTTTGTTCGGTAGTCTTTGTCATGTCTTCTTAATTAGTTTTCTAAATCGAAAAATCGTAGAAGGAGATTAAAATCCACGTGCTTTCGAATCTTTTGATAATAAATTAAAATTATTACACATTCCTTTCTTGATAAAAGACGCTATTTCCATTTCAATGTTTTGAGAAATTTGATACAATATAATTTTGGTTAATATTTTTTATTTTATATTTTTGAGCAGAAATAAGAATTGGACTATTAGATGGAGATTAAAGGTATACACAAATACGTGAAACTTACAGTTAATGTGTACGTTTAAATGTTAGGAACCAGTGAATATAAACCTGCGAGAAAAGTAGCTGAGAACGCAAACACTTGCATTCTTCTATTAATTTTAACGAGGAAATTATATTTTTGCTGAGCGCAAATGTTTCTATAAGCAGATTTATCATATTACGGATAAAATTACTGAATTTATCCCGTGCAATTTATTTAAATTTTCAAGCGACTTTTATGAAAATTCTGGATGATGAGAAAATCTGATTTTTGTCGAAAAAAATATCGAGTAACATGATAGATATTTAAAAAATTTAATTTTTGGCCAAATTAATTCTTTTCTTTTTTAAAATTTTTAAAATTGGTTTATATGGTAGGATATAAATATCCACCAGAGATTTAAAGATTATTAAAATTTTTTTAATACGTATTATTGAATATATTTTTTCTAGACTATATTATATGCTACGAGATATTATAGAATAATTATAATATTGATATTATGTGTGTCCACAACAACTATATTTTTTTTAAAAATAAACTTTCAACTGAGGATTATTCTATAGATATAATTTTTTTAATAAATGTCACTCACCGTGTTAATATTCCATGATGTTGATTTCATTTTGCACAAATCTGAAAAATAGAACGCAATGGCACATTAAATACTTTTACAAACAATAGAAAATAACACGTATAAAAGAAATAAACGTGCGTTTCAAACAAACACAGAGATTTTCGATAAGAAAAACCTATTTCTTATCGAATTAACCCATGTAATGTGCTTTTATATATAACTAAATTATCGTATAACGTAACGTAATAGTATAACAAGATTCCTCCTGATTGCTTTGTCTCAAAGAGGAACTGAGAGAACAGTAAGTAAGTATATTATTTAAAAAAAAAGAAAAAAATTCGTAGAAACGAAAGAGCGAAGTCCTTTAATAAATACATTGTGGTGCAACGTAGTAGTGCAATACCACAATTTTTTCTTTTATCATCCCGATACAAATGGCAAAAAGACATATGAATAACGAAACATGAATAATATAAATAGTTAAACAGTCGAACAGAACTTTTATCGATACTCTAATAATCGGTAATAGCGATATTTCTAACCTCAAAAACAACCTTCAAATTTTAATAAGCAACAATAAAAATTCTACCATTCCAAATGATACAATTTGATGAAAAAAAAAAATTGTACTCGATTATAAAGTTGAGCGTTAACAATTTCATCGACGAGAGGTCGATAAAAATTCGGCTGATTTTTCACACGGTTCGAAATCTAAAAATGGAAAATTCGGATGGGCTAAAAAAAAGAAAAAAAAAAAAAGTAGAAGGAAAAAGCTTGACCACTCGATGGAGGCGTCAAAACTGGGACTCGTCCCTCGAATTCCCGAAAGTCAATTTTCATTAGGGAGAAATTGGGCTCGACTGGTTGGCCTGAAGGCTCGAGTGAGACGAGAGCGTGCATGCGGGGGGCGGAGGAGAGAGGGTGAAACATGCCAAGTTGCGTGAACCCGAATCATAAGTTGGAACGGTGCACACTGGCGTACTGGAGTTAATTAAATTCAGTCGATTAATTAGGTTATTTGTCAACCTCGCCATCGATTTCCATCGAGATCTATCTGGAGAAATTACACCCATATGGTCTGTTTCACCGACCGATGATTAGAAAGAGCGAGCGAAAAATTTTTTGAACGATCGAAAGGATACTTTTTTTTTTTTTTTGGACGATAAAAACGCAACGTGATGCGAAAATAGAGGGATAAATTTTTGATATTTTGCGGCACATTTTTCTTTTGTTTCATTTAAACTATGTTATACATTTTTTTTAAACGTTTTGACATGTTATTTAATTACAACACTTTTCAAGTTGCACCAGTTTGCAGAGGAGGGGAGGGGAAAAAAAGAATATCAAATTTTTAAACACGAGAGCGAGTAAAAAATTAAGCGACATAAATTCGAAATTTACGTCACTGGCAAGTAACAGCATTTGAAATGACGTAAATTCACGTCAGTGGATGCAAATGTGTTAACATAAATTTTCGGTGGATTGTTAGATAAATAAATAACGTTTGTATTGTATTCTTTTTTTTTTTGTTACTTGTTCGTGCGTTTCATTTGTTTTTACGAGTACAAGTTAAAAGCGTTTTTATCATTATTTTAAAAACAGGGATTGCCTTGATTGAAATATCTTGGATTAATTTGAAACTTTTTGAAATTATCTTATAAATAACGAGTAAATAACTTTTTTCTTTCGTGTCATACGTGAACGAGGAAAGAAAGTTTGAATTAAATTATCTAATATATTGCTATTGTTATATCTTTTTAAACGATACCACGAAAGAAAGTTTTCATTTAAATTGGAGAAGTTTCTTGGATTAATTTTAAAGTTGAAGTTGTTAAAGCGGTATCAAGCTGAATAATTAATCGATTAATCACGTCTCCACGCGGCGAAACATTCAATCAAAAAGTGCGCGTGTTTACTTTTAATTTTTGTAAAGTCGAGAACTTTGATCAAAAAGTAGAAATGACGGTTCCTTTGTGCGACCGCTTTATTTTTTTTTTATCGATCTTTTCCGCTCCGTTGTATCGTTATATCCGAGAGGTTAGGTTAGAGGTTATGCCCCGAAACGTAACAACAGAGCAGAGGGAAAAATTTAAAATTCTATTATTTTATGGATATAATTTTCGAAAAGAAAAAGAAGATTGATCAGACAAATTACAATCCTATTTCCACGCTTCCATCTGTGGACGAAACTAATTCAATTTCTCGGACCATCTGTCGTTTCTTTTATCAATTACAAACTTTTCTTTTATATCGAGAAAGATTAATGTCATTTTATTAAAATCTAAAGAAAATCCAAACTTTAATTCGAAGTAAGTTTCGCGTTAAATTTAAGAAAGTTAGTCGGAGAAGTGTTCCCAACTATTCCAACGTTTGAAACGTTTTTCAAATTTCGAAAAAAAGTATCGATCTTGATATTTTCAAACTCTCAAATCGAACATTTCATCTTCTATTTCATTAAATTTCTAAAATTCAAAAATTAAACACGTTGGAAAAATAAGATAAAAATCTTCCAGATAAAAATCTGTACTCTTACTTGTATTTCTAAATTTGCAAGGTATCGTTGCACGAGTTGACCCACATTTGTTCGCGTGAAAAAGATTCTCTCGCATCCAGGAATATTTCCGTCAATTTTTAATCGACAATGACCTAAGAGAGGCGAAACGCTTCAAGCGCAATTTCTTTCTTCCATAACCTCACTTTGACTTCAATTCTATCTAAACACTCCGATCGACAAAATAAATCCCTACTAAATCGATCGTTGGAATTTATTCGTACGAGACGATTCACGAATTTAAAAGCAGAAACGAAAAGAGGAGGAAGAAGAAAAGGATTCGATCTTGCCAAGAATCCAATCTTCGGTCCAATAATTCGAATTTCATTTTCTTGAAAAATTTCCCAGAAGTATCGCAACGACACGCACGCAGAACCTGGCAGTATTTTCTCGCGACGGATCGCAGCTGCGCTGACAAGAATCTGATATAAATCTTAATTCTCCCGTGCCATACGGACTGCATCTAGAAAATTTCCTGTTACCGAGGCCAATGTGAAATTTAAAAATTTCGGAATCCCTCGCGTTTCGCAAATTTGTGGGAAACGATGTTTTGTTTATTCTCGTAATTTCGTCGATTCAACAATCCAAGATGGGGGAAAAAAATAAAAGAGACAATGAAATGCGACGAAAGTTAATGGAGGGTAGAAAAAAAGGAGAAGGAATATTGTGTAAATTAAAATTTAGAAATATTTAAAATTTGTTATGTATTCTTTTTCCAATCTAAATAATTTTATTATTATTTTGCATTTAACGAAAAATTGATCACTGATGTTACCAAACATCAGTAATATCCTTGCACGACCACCTTGAAAGTTGTTTCCTTTAACCGTACATGAATAATGGATTTATACGTGCATTTTCATTATCGTTAAACGATTATGAATGACGCAACATCGAGACAGAGTTACTGTTCAATTCATTTTCGAAGGTAATGGCAGAAGGCTCGAAACGGAGCGAACCCTTTGGCCACTCTCGCGATGGAAGTTAGTTACATTAGAAGGAATGACTATGAGTCACAGTATATATGTGTGTTTGCATCCACGTTGTTGTTAAATTGCTACGGTATGGCTGTAACTACGATCATTAAAGTCGTGGAAACTCGAATGGCCGCACCTTGAGTTTACTTTGGAACTGTTCTATCCTTAATCGAGCTGTATTGACATTGTCACGGTGTTGTAGATCGAAAAAAAGATAAGGAAATTGAACAACGAGGAAAGGAAAATGGAGAAATCGTTCGTTTGTTGCGATTTGAAAAAATTTTAATTCTATACGATTGTTATATAGTTAGAAATAATTCAAAGGGTTGGAAAGAATTTAAGGGATATATATAATCTCTATTCAAGATGTATCATCGAAGATAATTATTTAATCTCGCTTGAACTAACGATTAACTCGATAAATAATATCTTCTTTCGATCATTCGACATTCAAGTTATTTTTATTACAAAACTGTGCATATATATATATAGTGTATTTATTAATATCGAATTATACCGTTAATCAATAATAATTAATAATTAAAATAAATATTAAATATACGTGAATTTTATCACGGTGTATAGATAATAATAATTATTCGCATCGAAGCAGACATTTCCAAATATTTAATTTCCCAAAGCGATGTATAAAATTCGACATAATAATGAAGGATCGATTCGGAAAATTTATCGTCTGCTCGCCAGGGAACAAAGGTAGCGACACCGATGCTGTGCGATGGATGTGCGAGTAGTAAAAACCAATCGAAACTCTATTCTATCGTCGAAAACTTTGTTTCTGAGTCCATCCAGTCGGCCAGACTCGAACTTGATTATGACGTAACTTCTAATATCCGGTAATCACCATTTCGACATGACCCGAAAAGCCAGCAGGATCGATAAAACATGGCTGCCGTTCTATTAGCTTGATCGAAAACTTCTCAGATTTTATATTGTACGAATTAATGAATCCCCGATTCAATTAAAACTGATAAAATACAATTTAATTTAGTTATTTTGTCGAAAATTTTCACGTTTTCATAATGCGATATTTTTAAAAAGTTGATGAAAATTTACTTTTCATTTTATTTTTAGTTGCAATACGTGCAAAACATCTTACCCGATGAAATAAAAAAAAAGAAAAGAAAGAAAAGAAACGAATACAATTCCGTAATAATTGTTCGCAATTTCGAAAGAAAGAACTCGGTGTTGGCGGAATTTACTTGCACGCGCATCATTGTTCTATCCACTCACCGATCTCTCTCTCTCTCTCTCTCTCTCTCTCCCTCTCTCCCTCTACAGTCCACTAGAGTTTTCGTTTTCGCGAGACTTCTTGTTTGAAAACTATGATTGATCGTTCCGGTGTGTCCGGCCGCGCTCGCACGAACGCCAGCTTGTTTCGCTCCTTTCGTAATGTTTCCCGTCGAATTGTTTAAACAACGCTCGTTTACGAGGTCGTTTCGTCGGAGCCACGGAGTGTAATGCGCTTAAATTATAAGTTTATCGCGGAACTTGGTCGAACGCCGGCAATGTTCTTCGAGCGTGAAGTATGTTGATAATTTGTTGGCGGGGATATTCGTGTTGCTCGTAAAATTAGCATGTTGTTTGGAAGCGGATACGATGGAGCAAACAGAACGCTTTCCCCCAACTTGTGCTCTTTTTCCAACATTTTTCGAAGAGACAAGATGGATGTTGCACTATACGCTTTGTCCATTCCATCCCATTTCTTCGAATATTTTTAAGAAAATTCTAGAATTATTTATTATTCTAGAATTAGAAATTCTAGATAAAGTTAGATTTTTCCAATTATTGGAAGATTATTATTTCTTACTACAGTTGTTCGCTTATAAGATCAATCATACATACAGGCGTTCTCTCTAACCAAACGTTTCATAATTTTAGAAAATAAACTTAAAAAGCTTTAATAAAATTACACGTACTCGTATCGAGATTCAATCCCCTTAAAAGAACAACAACTCTCCTGACCGAGGACACCACCATTCCCCCTTTTCATCACTGGCCAGAGATAGTAGAACCGATGTCCCACCACAGACAGCGCCCTCTCTCGTCGCGAGAAGCGGCCCAGGCCACGTGCAATATTCGTGGTAGAGGGCAATGGACACGCATATCCCGATGGATGAACGGGAAGCACGATATTAGGCTCGCGCTTCGCTGGATAACCGTGCGACGCCGATAAAGGCGTGCGGGGAGGGGAGCAGCCGTTTCGTGGAAACGAAGCCGAAGGGGGATCGAAGGGCGGCCGACACGGCAATAAACAATTACTTAAGGCAGTGTTACGCGCGCGGCACACCCACGCATTAGCCCAAGTAGAATGCCGCACCCATCCGCGATCGTGGGCTTGGTTCCTCCATTAGTACACCGCGCGGATGTGTATGATGGAACACAGGTATGCATGCGCACAGGGGATAGGTGTACGGGGTGTCCTGATTCTACGGGATCGATGATTCTTCGTCTCGGTCATTTGTTATATGATGGAAGTTTAAGATGGAATTATTTTCGTTTCACAAAAGAACGGAATGTGCGTGGAAAAACTGAACCTTCGTGCGTGATTGGTTAGCAAGATAAGCAAGTTTTTTTTTTTCGTTGGAAGTAGAGGAAAAATAACAATTGACGAAGTATTGTGACGCAGTAGTATTCCTGTTCTCGAAAGTTAAATGTAAAAATTTGTTGATAAATAAGCAATGAAGATATAAAAAATATTTGTAACGATCAGGGGAACAAGGAAGATAGGCATAAGTTTTGATAAATGTGGAACAATTTGATTACTATTCAATTAGGTTAAATGTGGACATGCATAAAACGAAAAAATTCACGTCTTCGATACTTTTGAACGAGCTCGTGATCGCTTATCATCTCGTGACACCCTGTATATATAAGGCGCATCTCTGTCGATGTGCACGTTCCACGCGAACGCGCGTATATACCGATCGAGTCGAATCGAATCGAATTGGACGATGACGTATATACCCAATCATTTTTCAAGCCTGTACGAATAATGGGCTTTGGAAGCTAATTGAATGGAGTTCGGAAGCTATGTTTCACGGCAAGCTTGTCGAACGACGTATATAAACGATTCTCTCTTTTACGCAAAATTCTCGATGCTCCGCATTTACATTCGCTTCTATTCTCGCGAGCAAAAAATTCATTTCTCGTCGTGCACTTCTATTTCTTTCCTATTTCTACAAATTTTTTAAAATTCTTGGCGAAATTCTAGTTTAGTAAAGTTGATCGTCAAAGAATCGATACTTTACAATTAGCCTGGTAAAAATTCGAAGGTATCCATCGAGTTTACCCGGCTCGTTACCGGCCGCTTAACAATGTTCATTTGCAAGAGTCAACAGGCGCGCAAGCGTGGCCAACGTCCGTCCTTTATTCCCGGATTGTAAACCGAGGTTTCGAGTCACGTGGATCACGTGTTTACCGCGTGCACACCGGCCGCCAACCGTGGACTAATTAGCCGATACGCCGTTTAATTGTTTTATCTGTCAATTCTGTTCTCGAACGAGCCTTAAACTCGGCGCGACAATAAATGTTAATCGAGGGAACAAAAGCTGGGAGAAGGAGCGGCCTCCGCCAGACAGAAGGAGGAGGAGGGGTGGAAGAGGAAAAATGACGGAGGATCGATCGAGAGAGGGCCACGTGAGAGGCCTCGTTCGCCTAATCGACGTCCTAGGTTGCGCAATCTAATGCGAATATAATCGGGGAGATCGATAATTACGTAAAGCCCGATGTGTTCGGTAGGAACGATGGATTAGAACGTTGTCCTGACAGGGATTGGGTCTGTATAACAAGATGCTTGTTGGTAACCAGCTGGTTTGCGTGATGGAGTTAATAATTCGACGGAAATTAGTTGGGTTATGTTTGCTTGCCAGGAGTAATAATAAGGAATTTTTTTTTACACCGTTGAGCGTAAAAAAAAAATGAAAAATATAGAATTTCTTCAATAATATATTTCGTTGTCGTTCCCTCGTCGGTCTGGTTGCGGTTTAATAATAATTGTTAATTTGTTATTTTGTCCTGAGATTGAATTTGTTGTGAACGCGGTGGTTTGCATGGCGCAGTTAATAATTGGATGGAAGTCGGTTGAGGTTATGTTGCTCGCTTGAGAGGTAATTTAAATTTTTTAATTGCTTGAATGAAATGTAGATATATTTACGTATCTGTGTGTACTTTAAGTTCTGATAGTTGATAAAAAATAGAAAATGTGTTTTAATTATGTTTTTTTATTAAATTAATTAAATAAATTTGTCTTACAAAAAATTTTTTTTTATATTTCTCGACATAAAATCGATTGAGAACGTGCGTATTTATATTTACTTTATTTTACACAGATTTAATACGTACAAAAATTGTATTTACAGCAAAACGTGTCACAAAGAAAAATCCAAATATCAAGATTTTCCAAGTTTTTTTTTTTAATCGATTAAATCGATCTATTTATATGTTTAAACAATTTTGAAAAATATAAATAATTATCCAATAATATTAAGCATTGAATTTTGATAGATGATCGAATATATTTTTTCCATTTTAATTTCGTATTAGATCCCCGATGCGAATCTTCATTAGCAGGTTGCTCTGAAATTTTTTTGATGCCTCCATTCCCTCGAGTATTTCCCACTGTAATCGATAAATTCCTGTTACCAAAACAAGCTGCACGCTCTCATAATTAACAAACAACAGAAAAATTGCCGCGTATTTGGGATATACAACGGTATGATGGTTGGTTCACAACGCAACGGTTAGCATTTTTATCGATAAACGTACGAGATGTTTTTCCTATTTTTTGATATCTACGACTTGTTTCAAATAATTAATAGGAGAGAACTTTTTCTTTTGGATAAATACGTAAAATAAAATAATAGTAAATCGAATTGAATTGTTATTGAAAAATTATTGTTTCAAGATATAGAATGTATAAGAAACAATAATAATTTTTAACAAGTAAATGAATAATCGATAATATGTTATATATTACATAATTTATAGAAATTATGGAATAATTAGTTCGTAAATTGATCTGAGCTATAAATAGAAATTAAATGGTGATTATATATGTAATCATTACAAGTTATTTCGACGTTGCAAAGCGATTATTCCCAGTTTGGAACATTAATCAAATTTATTACTACTATATATAGCTATTAGGAAATCTCTGTATCAGTTTTGATCAGATATAGATATTTTGCTTGCCTCTCTAATAAATATTTCTAAAAAACGAAATAAATATAGATAATCTATGTCATATTTTCTTTATCTTAATATTACAATAATATTATATTATTCATTTTATTTGCTCGAATAGCACAAGTCTGTATAAAATCTGCCGGAATAAATAATTAATAACAACGATTTCATGAAATTCGATGCGATCTATTTCAAATTTCTCTTGTGTGTTTTGGCTGTTAAAAATTCCAGCCACGAGCCCCTTGCCATTGTATTCCGTATTTTTGATCCCTCCTCTTTTTCTCTCAGAGGATGATACAAATCGTAAATCATGCGTAATAAACAGCGGATTGTGAAGTTGCAAGTTGTTGATTGTGTTCTAGAAATTTATTCTGGATTTGTAAATGGAAACGGATAACTTGGATAACTTTTGGATTCGAAATTGAAAATGAAAAGTGAATAACTTGGAACGATATATTTCGGATTGTTGAATTCACTCCTTTTTTTCATTTTCAGTTTGTTAATGTGATCATTTTCCAAATAAAACAACAAGAAATTTTCAAGTGTTTCTTTTTTTTTTTTTTTTATAAAACGTTCGCAAAAGCTTGTTACAGAATGTTCGTTACAGAAGCATGATTAATAAATATGGATCGATTCGTTTCTCATAATTCATGGATCGTCGTATTCGACTGTGTCTGTACAGGGGCCTGGACAATCGTTGTTATTCAGGATGTATAATTTTGTTAACATCGCGAACAATGGCGTGCTAACAGGCGTCGAAATCATTGGAATATGACGGAAAATCGTCCTTCATAATGCGTTCGAATTAGAATAATTGCGTATTGTTACAGCCGCACGTGTAACATGAGATATTATCATTGAATAAGTAGCGTAATTACAAAGTGTTATGCGTCATTGTCGGTATTAAGGTAGGACAGGATATGATTAATATTTTGATTAAGCACGAATTTTTGTTAATATTTTTTGATCATTTTTAATTTCTCGAAACAAAATTTTTCAATTCTTTCTTCGCTATTATCCATAACGATCTAATGATAATTGATCGATAATATCAATGATTATCAAATTTTTGATTTATTAATTTAGAATTGCTGGTAATGTACATTTGTCTTATCACGATATACACGCATATTTTTATATGCTATTTTTTTTTTTTTGAATTTTCGAAATTTGGAAAATATTGGAAATTCGTTTATCGAAGAATCTATTTTATTAAAGAGTAGAATAAATATTTCTAAATTACTCTACTGGATATCACATTCGATTAATAAAACCTTTCTCTCTTCTCTAGAGACGAAATAGATAGAAAATTTTAATTAAATCGATAGTCAAATATTAGAACAAAAATAGATATTGGCAAACAATCAGTCCAAGATCAATTATCATGAATTGCGATTTGATTAAAAATTTACAATTTCATTATTTCATTATTTATTATCCTTCCAATAAAACATTTTTACACGAAATATTATTCCTCGTCGAGTAATTCAGCGACAATGCATTTTAAATATTACGAATACAATATCTGGAGAATGGACGAGATGATACACGCCTGTTCTCGTATATTACACTTCATCAGTCACTAATAACCTCGTTGAAACGATAAACGTTACGTATCCTGACGAGAAATGAGATTGGCGACTAGTGCTGCGCATGATGTTAATTACAAAGACCTCATTTTCCCCAAGACTCAACCATTCGACCATTTATTTATCAATCTGTACGAGATATTAATTACACGGTGCACTGAATCGTGCACTAAAACGAAACCTTTCGCTTTGTTAAATCTTTTATCGTCCGTTTTGTCCTCCGCCGGTCTTAATAAATGAAATTTTCGATTACTAGCTCTTTGCGTGAATTGAAATTAATTAACTTCTCGCTTTGTCAATTGTAACGCTGATCATGGAAGACGTGAATACAAACGTATGCAGAAAGTATGGTATTAAAATTTGAACGTGGAGAATTGTTTCACAATTGATTCGAACTATTGATCACTTCGAGCCAGGAAAATTCAATCAGACCAAAATCAAATATTTAGCTAGCTGCATTAATTCAATCAGAGTCAAAACTTAAATACTAACTATCAACTTCAACTATTACGTTTCATAATAATATACTCCATACTCGATCCATTATCCAATTACATTACCATAAACTGTTTTAGCTTAACTATTAAACCGGAAAGATGATACTTTTCACTCTCAAGTTTAGATTATCAGACTTTTACATGTTTCGTTTCATCATTAGTACTATTACTAGTACACTATATTCCATAATGCAAAATATGAAATACACCATTGAATCACATTATCCAACCTAACCTAATCAAACCAAATCAAATCAAGAAAAATAATACCTTTCAATTTCGATAGATTGTCAGAATCGAAATACTTTTTTTTCAACTATATATACTTCATCTCATTACCAACATCCCTACTATACTACATTGCACAATGAAAAACATCATTCAATCATTGAACCACATTAACCTAACCTAATCACATCAAATCAAGAAAGATAATACTTTTCAATTTCGATAGATTGTCAGAATTAAAATACTGTATATACCTCATCTCATTACCAACATCCCTACTATACTACATTGCACAATGAAAAACATCATTCAATCATTGAACCACATTAACCTAACCTAATCACACCAAATCAAGAAAAATAATATTTTCAATTTTGATAGATTGTCAGAATTAAAATACTTTTTTTTTAATTATATATACTTTATCTCATTACCAACATCCCTACTATACTACATTGCACAATGAAAAACATCATTCAATCATTGAACCACATTAACCTAACCTAATCACATCAAATCAAGAAAGATAATACTTTTCAATTTCGATAGATTGTCAAAATACTTTTTTTTTCAATACATACTTCATCTTATTACCAACATTGTCTATTATACTGCTACATTGCACGATGCAAAACACACAGAACGCACCGTTCTAAGTGTTAACCTAACCTAACCAATATCAAGCCAGAAGGTTTCGAAACTCGAAGCAGGATTGCATTTTTCACGTTTGATCTTGACAGGTTGTCAGGGGGGCCAGGTGGAAGGAAGGAAGGAAGGAAGGAAGGAATGTGCGACGAGTCGTGACCGGCGGAAGGCGGCCAGCCGACGATACATTTCCGGCAGGCCACTTGGAGAGCAAGTTTGCCCCTTGCCCGTGGACAATACTGTGGGCGAGGACCGCTCGTTACACGCTACATGGCCACGAAGGATATGGACAGACGAGCGGCCGCCGAGCAGTTGGCATTCGTGACACGCACCATCGATGACACGAACCGCCATGGGATCCGGCCGAATTACGATTCTCCGTGGGCGCATTTATGCCCCGGAATCGATGACGAGCCACCACCACCGTGTTTAAGGCGTACGTGTCGAAACGCTCGGGTCGGGATACGTCGTTCTTGTTGGAATTTTCGAATCGAAGCAAGGGTGGAGAGGAGGAGGGGGATTGAATAGATTCCAAGGGACGATTACACGATATGGAATCCCTTTAGATTTGCCTTGATGCAAAGCAACGAGTCGATCAACGAGTTTGATCTTGTTGTGGAACATTTCCATTTTCGTCACAATGATTGACCTCGATGAAGAAACGCGCGCAACGAAGAGGTGAAGCGAGGAAAGAAGTTATTTCGAAAATAGCCGGAAATAGGATTTCGAATAAATTGTGGTTAATCGAACGTGGTTCCTCATCTGAATCATGCATGAGAATATTTCAAACGGTTCATTGGAACGATTCAATCTTGCGAAAAAAGGAATCCGTCCGTGGCCTGTTATAAATATCATTTTTTGAGGTTAGGCCAAGAGTAATGCTTCGCGATGAAAATAATAAAATTTTCGAAATTTTTTTCTGTATATCTAAATGGAAATATTTTTCGAAAATTGTTATTCATCCAATTGGAAATCTCCTTTATCCGTATAAAATAAACATTTTCATATATACGGTAGCTCCATTTTGAAAATTACACTCCATCAATTGTGACGCATTCGTAAAAAATTTTACGTTTGCAACGTTGAATTTTATCATTCGTTAAATTCTGTGTAAACGAAAAAAAACACACTCGTACGTTGAAAAGTTGGGTTTCGAATTATAACCCCTTTTTATCAAGAGATTCGAGATGAAAATTCCCGTCCGATAGATATCGAACAAAGTAATAAAATTTATATCCACGTAACACGTACCTGATACGTATTCATAATGCAGTAAACTCTATTATGCTGTCTACCCTCGTTGCAGTTCATTATTGACATATAATCAATGATCTACGATGACATAGATACGTACGAACGTATTACACAAGCTGTAACTATAGGAATATTGCTGTTCGTGCGAAGAGGAAGAGAATATAATAAAACGAGATCACTTTCAAGTTTATTCAAATTGATAAAATACGAAATTGTTGAGTTAATCCTTCAATTTTAAACGCGCGATTATCTGTATCCGTGAAATGATAAAGAAAAAAAAAGAGAAAAAAGAAAAAGAAAATATCTTGTACATCGAGAAAAATCTCGTCGAAAAAAAGATTGTGAAGCTTTCATGGATCATGAATATGAATATATTCGCATCGATGATGAAAAGTTTTCTCTTCTAGAATATAATTTCCATTCAAGCTATTAAATTTCTTGGCGCAAGAGATAGACCAATGCTCGAGTTCGATTCAGAAGAAACATCGAGAAGTTTAATTTAAAAGCTCTTTTGTTTAAACACGATTTGAAATTCACGATTCAACCGAGGATCCTTTCGATCGTAGCGGTGTCAGTATCGATAATACCGGATCTCGTCGTTCGTCTTCCCTCTATCTGTCTGCTCGACTTGCTTTTCTTCTTTTTTTCTTCTCTCTCCTACTCTCAACCCCTTCTATTATTTCTTTCTTCCTCCTCTCGGTATTCCTTCTTCTATTCTCCTTCTTGTCTCTCCTATCCTTCTGTCACATACATTTTCTTCTCTTTTTCAAATCCTTTTTGTCAAATCGTATCTCTTCCTCATTTGTTTCTTCTTTTCTTTTCATCGTTATGGAAAATAATTTTTAGACAAGTCTACATGTTTGTACGTTATTACAAATATTTTGCTCATTTGATATTTTACTTTTACTCTCTTTTGTTTTTTATACTTCTTCTATTCTCCTTCTTGTCTCTCCTATCCTTCTGTCACATACGTTTTCTTCTCTTTTTCAAATCCTTTTTGTCAAATCGTATCTCTTCCTCATTTGTTCCTTCTTTTCTTTTCATCGTTATGGAAAATAATTTTTAGACAAGTCTACATGTTTGTACGTTATTAAAAATATTTTGCTCATTTGATATTTTACTTTTACTCTCTTTTGTTTTTTATACTTTTAGCTCTGTGATATATTTTTTTCTCAAGTTACACAGCAACGTTATTTTCTTCTTATCTTTTGCTTGTTAAACTTCAGTTTAACAACTTTCAAATCTTTCCACGCTTTCTTAATTTTCTCCTAGTCTTTTTTCTCCATTAGCAACTTAAAAAGTTTCTCTTCCCAGTCATTTTATTTTAATCCGCCTGTCTATTTAAGGTGCTTTAATTCTTTCATACTCTCGGATCTTTTTTATTTTCTTTCATATTCTTATACATATCTTCTATATTTTCATCTATTTTCACTCTCTTAAAATCTTCAAAAAATCAATATTTCTTCAAAACTCTCTCTCTCTCTCTTCCTTTTGTATTTAAAAATAAAAATTTAGCTCTCGCATTTACACCAATCTTCCCTGTTCTTTTAATTCCGTGCCATATAAAGTTTCTTTGTATCTTGTACAAAACTTTTCCCTTCCCCTTCTTCTTCTTTCCAACTTTATCGTCTTTCTTCGATTTTTCCCATTTTTCTCCTCCATTCATTCCATATTTTCACAACTTCCACTTCTTTCTTTCTTCATCACTTCAAATAAAACTTTATCCTATACTTCTCTCTCTCTCTCTCTCTTTCCACGTTGTATATCCCTTCTCTATTCTCTAGAAAGACAATTTGAAAACAACGAAAGCTCATAACCTGGAATTTTAAAATTAAACCGTTTTACTTTTCAATATTATTCTTTTATGTTCGAGAACTCCTCCAAAGCTATCGAGTTAAAAGTTACATCCATCTCTCCAAACCGTTCTATTCCATAAATGTGAATTAATCGCTCAAAACTTCAATCGACAATGTTCTAATATAATTTCTCCTATAAAAACCAATCCTTCCAATCCTACGAGTTTTACATGTATACCTTGATAGAAAAATTAAAAATTCTGACCACTTTTCCTATCCAACAACGACAAGAAATTAGAACGAATAAAACCGAGACGGAACATCCTTTAACACGTTCGTTGACCAGCGTGATTTCGTTGAGTTCCTCACGAGGCCCAAATGTTACTGTTGGAAAGCCGATAAGAACGATAAACAGAGCGATAAAGTAGTTTCAATATTTTTATTTTATATACTTTAATATAAAATTTAATTGGGATATATTTATATCTATTAGTTCTTAATTTTCATTAACTAGTTCTGTAATTCACCGATTCTGAATTAGTTGTTTCCAGTGTCTCTACTTCTACTTCTTCGCTTCCAAAATCAATTTTAAGTATTTTGGTGTGAATATAAGCCTCTAATTGGCAACTTCAACTCAGTTCTATATTATCGGTGGCAACAACACCCTCCTATATTACCATATACGGTATAATTTATTAGATTTAAAATTGTGTAAAAATGCAGAGTGATTAATCATACTTGCCCCTCTTTTCCGTTTCTATTGTTCTTAAATTTTAAATTCTGTGATTCCAAAGTATATTTTATATTCACTGCTTATTTCGTTAAATTTCTTTTAAAATTCCACCTTAACTCTTCGCATTCATATGTCGCCATTCATATAATTACATTTTACATGTATAGTATAACTATATATAACTTAATATACCGTTTACTTCTTAAATATAAATACAAACGTAAAGATCTTATTTTTCTTGAAGAATCACCCATATATGAAAAAAAAAAGAAAATTCACTCTTGAAAAATAAGATCGCTTCGGAGCAAGCGCAGCAAGTGGCGCAACTCTCGAGCGCGTCCCGCGGGCCAATTAAAGGGAACGAAGCGCGGGCGTCGAAACGATCAGAAGGATCAGCAACGTCTGTTTTCGAATTCCGTGGTCGTAGGTAGAAAAGTAGGTAGAAAGGTCCGATCCGGAACGAGAGGCGCGGTAACGAAAGGATATCGTTGCCAGACTCCCCCTCCTCCTCCCTCGTGGGGCGCGCGTTTAAATTCCTCCAGGTCGGAAGACGTCTTTTTACGTCTCTCTGGTCGGGGGCCTCGGGGGCGAAGCAGGAAAAAAGGAACCATTAGCCCGCGCAATTATCCTTGGACGGACGAGGCTAGAGTTACGCCGGCTAATAGCGCCGCTTCCTGCCACTCCCTCGGGGGACACGGGGGCCCGAGAGTCGAGGATGAGAAGGAGGAGGAGAAAGAAGGGTGGAGGGAAAGGAGGAGGATGAAATTCTCGACGAGGAGGGGAAGAAATTCGAGGTGATAAGGGCGCGAGGGGGAGGATCGAGAAATTTGACGAGATACGGGGCAATTTGAAAAGTTCACGGGTTAATAGATACTCGAGATGTATATATATATATATATGATAATTAATAATAATTTAAATCGAGTTAAATTCCTCGATTACGAAACTCAGAAACTTTGAAAATGATATTTCTATCGCCACGAAAATATAGTTCGTGATCACAGTCCAATCACTCGATGGTATATTATTCTACGCTTTGTTAAGATTGTACTTAAAGCGATTGATTTTAAAAAAAATAAATATGTAAATAAATATTATCGCCGTTGTCGAATTGCTGCATCGATTCTGCATTCATGTAACGTAAAAAAAAAAAAAAAAAGAAAAGACAGAAATGGAGAAGAATCGGATCTGATTCTTTCTCCAATGACGATCCACAATCGTCGCAAGCGGCGATAAAAGCATCGATACCTTTATTTACCGGATAAACTGTGTATTCAATACACAGTTCCCCCCCTCCCCCTCCACCATCGTGACACGGTTCCACGTTCAATTTCGAAATCCACCGTTAAAATGTGAGACACGTATCGACTGGCAAATTTATCCGTTGATACTCCTCCACCTCCTGCCCAAAGCTCGAAAATCGAATTTACCGCAAACTAATGAGATCGTACAATTCCACGACCACCTCCACCTCCTTCCACCTCCTCCCTTCCTCCCTTCGTATTTCAAACGGGGAACAATCGAATCGCGGCACGGATACATTTTTATAAATATAAATACGCGCGCGCACGGACGCTATTCTCTGCATTAAATAATTACCCGTGGAACGTGGTGGGGGGGGAGGGTGGTGGAAGAGGGGAGGGAGGGCGTGCGTGTAAATAATTAATTCGGTCGCGTTTCTGAATGAACGTTAATTAAAACGGGAGAGCGGCGGCCGGTGCAGGGAATTTTGCAGGGAGGCATGGTGCCATGGGAAGTCGAGCAGTCGTTATCGTTTCACCGAAAACACTTGGCAAATAATTATCCATTTTTAAGCCCCGTGGAAAATACGAGTTTCGGGCCGGATGATAAAATTTAAATGAAATCGCGACCTGTTTGTTTCGATTATCAGACGAATAAGTTGGCGCGAGGCCGAGACTGAAAAATGGATGTTTCTCACGAAGATCGATTAAATTATTTCTAATCTGTAAATCGCGATCCTCGAAGAGTTATTTTTATTTGTGTGCAGAAAATTTTGGGTGCAAAGGGTGTGGTTTAATATCGAGAGATTATTAGTATATGTTTAGATAAACAATTGGTAATTTACAAGTAAGGTTTACGGAGGATAATAATTAATGCATGCACACTTTGGTTTAGGGGAAAATGGAAAATTCGAATGCATGGGTTTGCCATGTTTTCCCAAGATTTGTTCGTTTAAAATGGGACAAACACGATGATATATGTTATGATCGAAATTTGTGATTACAAACACCACTTCTGTCATAGATTCATAAAGTGTACAGTTATGTTAGAATGTTTAATAGGGGGAACGTGTCCAACTGGAGTTTTAAATCCTGTTTAAACGCATTGGGTATTGCATTGTGATCTGTAAAATGATTGTTAAAAGTCATACGAATATCATCCCTCTTTATAGATACGAGAGAAATTTTAATAAAAGTTCAATCATTTTCTGAAATGTGTTAACAAAATTCGTTAAAATTAAAAAAAAATGTACATATCTTGATGTATTCGTTAAGATCCAAAGAAAAACAGGTGATAAAAATGAAACTAAATAATTATAACAATGTTTATTCCTTTCGTCCAATTTACAAATTTTACAAACATAACATTTTTAATTGGATTTTATATATTTTAAAATAATCGTAAGAAAATGAGGTGATTTTAGAAATTTTACTCAAAAGTTTTAGTATTTTCCAGTGATACAAGTAAACAGATCGTCCGACAATCAATAACTTTCCTCATAAAATCTTTA